AGACTCTAGTTGATCTAACCAGCCTTTTGTGTCATTTCCTGAGGAGCCGCGTCACAGCAAAATACTTCACCATGAGTTGAGTGCCTCTGGTTTCTTTCTTTCTTTCTTTCTTTGAAAATTTATTTTATAGTAATTGCTGGGGTGTGGAGGCTTCTCTTTCTCTGGGAAATAAGCATTATCTAATTGATCCCTCAGCTTGTCAGCCTCTGATGAGGGAACTGCATTTGTGTTAGTGTCCTTCCAATGGTTTGCTAGTTTTGGGGAGGGCAGTGGACGTAATTCATGGAGGATACTTTTTCCATAGCATCCTGCAAAGGGAATTGACATCCATCTGATGCCAACACGTGTTCCACTGAATGCACCCAGGGGATTCAACAGTTTGCCCCAGCCAGGCTCATTCCTAGGAAACTGCAGCCTCTGCCCTATGAGACTCCACTTTGAAATCCCTGCCTATCACCCTGGCGGCTTCTGATCCTGGGTCTCCTTTTGAGTTAGAGGACATTTTTTTCTCTTTCTCTTTTTCCCTTCCATTCCCTTTTATCATATGGAGATACTAAGATGATTCATAATGGGTAGCTGTAGGGGGGGTTATCCTCTAAGAGACATGGTATGTTAGACTATTCTAGAATAGAATTATAAGGAGCCTCGCTTCCCCCTCTGTCCTTAACTCCCCGGTGACTTTGAAACCATCCCTCTCCATGACTACCCCTCTCCAGCAGTGCTGTGGGATTCTGCATCCACGACCCAAGCACAGATGTCTTAAACTGCAGTTGCTTTGTTCCTCTCCTCCCAGATGCCTGCATGATATTTGGTTTTGTCTTTTTAAAAATATATATAAATAATATGGATCTTTGGTTACCTGTTACCTTAGCGAAACCTCTCTAGGAAAAAAAAAAAAGTGCCTTCTTTTTCCACAGAGAAGGATGAACATAAAAGAAATTCTATAAATAGGATTTTGTGGAGTGGAAAAAGTTGGATCCTAAATTTCCCATGAGATGTAGGCAGTTATGAGGAAACAGGAATGATCATTTCAAATCTTCCTATACTCCGACTCCTAATGAACTTGAATGATTTGTCATTCTCTCCCATCATATGTGCTCAAATTCCTTCCATTCTGAAAAAAAAACAAATGAACAAAAATCATCTCTTCAGGCTGGTTCTCCACGGCAGAGGAAGGCCGTGACTGCCGTCTGCATCTCCCCTGCATGTGCTGGGCATCCATACCTGAGCCTTGTCTGCTGGGGAGCCTCATTCTCACCATACAAACAAAAAGAGCTTGGGTGACTTGCTCAAGGTCACACAGCAAAGCTGAGATCCCAGAGCTCAGTCATTTCCCAGAATGCGTCCTTACTTCTCATGACCCTATTTACTGATCTTCTCTTCTATAAGAGAATTTATCCTTCCACTGTGAATCCATTGGAAGAGCTACAACCCCAGATGTAAGGGGAAACTGTTCTCCATGATCAGGAACTACTTGGCCCTCATATTTTTTCACCTAGACATGGCCTCTGAGAGTGCTCAGACCCACTCAGCTCTACACTGCTCCCTGTGACCCACATGAGCAGGAGCTAAGTTCTGTATCCAGTAGCTACATGGATGAGAAACTCATCCCAAAGACTTGATGTCTTGACTCTACAGTCAGCCTCTGAGCTCACTGAGATTGTCTGATAACCGCGGGGACAACCTGGGAAAACTTGCCTCCACGGGACCTTGTCTATCCCCCGGCACCCAGCAGGAGCAAGCTCTGAGGTCTCTGGACTGAGACTTTTGTCTTGATCTAGGTTCCTCCTGGTGGTATCTTGGGCTGGACCCCTCACAGTTCCCATACCCACGCCTCTGTCTCTACAGGAAGACAGGATGCAGATCACAGCCACCTGATCTTGGACAAGTCCCGTCCCTTTTCCTATGCCTTATCTTCACCCCTCACTGAAATGGGACTGGGGATCTCTACCTCATTGTATGGGTATAAGGATTCTGTGATCCAGGGACAAAAAAGTACCTGGTATACGGATCATGCCCAAGAAATGCCTTCAGAGTCAAATTTCTCTGTCTGCTGCAGCCAGCACAGACCCTCCTTCCTGCATCCTGTTACAATCAGCTGTATCTGTTGGCACTGCTAGGGAGGATGAGTTACCTTGGAAAGGGAATAAATGGAGACTTCTCCCTGGTAAATTACGGCTTCTGCTAAAGGTTTGACACTTCTATTTTCTTCCTGTCAGAAAAAAAAATAATAATACCTATATACCAATGGTCAGTTTGGTTTCCCTTTTTATACTTCATTAACCTGTGGAGCAAGTCAGGTGACACTCGGACCTTCCAGGGAGCAGGTAGCCCAGTGGACACTGATATGAACATTAGAGGAAGGCTCTGGCTCTTTCCTAATGAAGCTTTAGAAATTAGCAGGGCACACTGTCAGCAGACTTCGAGAGAGAGACCAGAGCATTGTCATAAGCAGAACCCAATAGAGATAGCCATCTCTGTGACAGGTGATGTGAAAAGCTCAGCATCCACTGGCATGCTGTGGCTGGGGCTCAATAACTGTGTACTGATGTGCTTTGAAGTCTGCCGTGATGGCTTGTGATTGAAATATGGAGCAGGAGCCACGACAGAGCAGGATGTGAATTGATGGTCTGGGAAACCCAGCTGGTCAGGAAGAAAGAGAGGGAGGAAGGGGTGGGCAAGTGTGCCGGAGCCAAAGAAGCACTGGCCTCATGCAGGCACCATGCTGGGGACAGTCCCAGACACGGGTCAAGGGATGTACCTGGATTTGAAGCGGGGGGCTCTGGGGGCTCTGGGTGCTGATCGCACTTGTCAATCAAAACCTCACCTGTCTGGCTACTAAGGGAACTGTTCACACAGGGGATAATGACAAATGGGAAATCAAAGAAGCACTTTATCATCAGCTGGGGTCACGGCTGTGATGTATTGGAACTGTCCAAAAGCACTGCCTACGGCTCTGTCATCCTGAAATGGCCCAGAATCGAACCTTAAGGATTCCTGACAAGTCCAGCCTCCAAAAGCTGTCATGTCCTGGAGGGTGGTGCCCTGTCTAAGCCAAGGACTGTTCCAGTCTGCAGAGAGCTAGTGCCCCAGCTCTCTTGACTCTTGAGGTCCATTACTCCAGCAAGCACAGAGCCACTCCCTGAAAACTAGGCCTTAGAGAAGAAAAAGAGGGGGGTGTGAGAGGACTCACCAGTGCTGTGAGCCTCCCTGGTACCAGCTGGGTCCCTGCAGCCACTCCCTCCTGCAACAGCCATGTGGGAAGGTGTTAGCTTCCTTGCAGTGATCAGGAAATAACAGCACATAGAGAAGTTTAAGGAAAATAAGCCACAGGCAAGCAGCTAAATCCAAGTCATCCTAAATAATGCTTTATTGAGTAGGCCAGGCTATCCCAGCCCACCCATCCATATTTCCAGACCAAATAAAGTAATAGAGGGGAAGGGCCTATGAATACCACCTCTGTGGCTTAGACAAGGAGCACCATTGCTGACATCAGACTACAAAGCTCATTACTTTGACCAGCACCTGAGCAAGAGCAACATCGACACTCAGAGGTGCCCACTGATGTTTCTAGGTGACTGGGAACAGGCATGCAGCATCTCATGGAAGGGCCCCCCCAGCGATGTGGGCTCAGCCTATGTGAAAGGGCGTGGCCTGGTCTGTGCTGTTCCACTCTACAAGTCTAGGCGTGTGTGTGTGTGTGTGTGTGTGTGTGTCTGTATGTGTGTGTGCCCCGATTCAGGCCTTATATAAAACCTTCAGGTGACAGATGGAGACAGGTGAGCTAGAGAAACATTGAGACCTTTGTCTTCAGATCTGGCCTCAAAGACTCACCTGGTGAGATCTGGGAGAAATTGTTCCTGGACCACAGTGATGACTTCAGCAGCTTTGGTGATGGGCTTTACCAGGTCATCTGAATGTGACAACTGCCTGCGCTGGCAGGAGGGGGCAATGCACATGCCCAGGAAATAATGAGACTATAAGACACTAAGACATATACATGTTTCTTGAATGTGAAGTTTCTGGGTCTGGGGATGTGGCTCAGTTGTTACAGTGCTTGCTTAGTATGTATGTGGCCCTGGGCTCCATTCCCAGCAGCACTTAAAACCCAGATGTGGTGGGACACACCTGTAATCCTAGCACTCAGGAAGTAAAGGCAAGGGGATTAGGAGGTCAAGGTCATCCTTGGCCATATAGTGAGTTTGAGGCCAGCCTGTGAGACCTATCTTTAAAAAAAAAAAAAAAAAAAAAAAAGGAAGAAGGAAGGAAGAGAATCAAATTCCTATTTTCCTTTGGGAGTGGGCAGGAACTGCATAGTTGTGTGAGGTCCAATTGACACACTGACTGCCAGGGAGGTGGGGAATAGCTTGCCCAGGCCTTTGTTTCTCAGGGGCACAGTCAGAATTTGGCTTAACACTCAATGTCCTTGCTCTCTGTATGCCATTAGCTTCCTGTTAAATTTACAGGAAGTCACAGCCTCCAATCCCAGCTCCCACTTGCAACCTGCTGACCTTTAGGAGTTCCAGAAAAGGAACGTGAGCCTGAGCAAAGAGGTGGTCTCCATTTGACCAGCTATTAAAAACTACCACAGCCTTAGTGGCTTAAACAACAAATGTTGACCTCTCACAGTCTGGAGGCTAGGAGGTAAAGGTTGAAGTGCTAGCTGATGGGTACCTAGGGAGGGGTCACTCCTGGCTTGCCCATGACTGCCTTCTCCACAGGTCCTCAGGGATGGAGATCAAGGAGGCAAGCAAGTAAGCTCTCCCTAGTGTCTTTTTACAGGGGCACTAATTCCATCTACTAGGGCCCACCCACATGACCTCCTCAACCCCAAAGGCCCTACTTCTTGATACATCACATAGAGAGCACAGGGCTTCGACCTGCCTATTTTCAGGGGCAGAGGGGAGTAGGGGACAAACACTGTCTGCATAGACTTGAAGGAAAAGAGAACAGGGCAGTTTCCATTGAGTAGTAACATGTCTGCCTCCCTGTCCTGGCAGGAACTGCAAGTTGAGCAGCAGCAGCCTGTCCATGGCTGCTGTGGACATCCTCTACATTGACATCACAAGGAGGTGGAATTCCGTGACCCTGGAGCAGCGAGACTCAGGTACCTGGTGACTGCCTTCACCATATCCCATGGAGCCCTGACAAGCATGGGATGGGGTCCATACATCTTCTGGGTTTTTTTAAATACTTTGTTTTTATTATTTTTATTTTGTGTATATGAGTGTATTACCTGCATACATGTAAGTGCACCCATGTCATGCAGTGCCTGAAAAAGGTCAGAAAAGGGCATTGAACCCCCTGGAACTGGAGTTACTGATGATTGTTAGCCACCATGTGGGAATTGAACCTGGGTTCTCTGGGTGCTCTTAACCACTGAGTCATCTCTCTCCAGCCCCCAAATCTGTTCTTTTGTGTTATAGAGAGAGGAGGAAGATGAATTAATTGATTTAAATCCCTAGGCAATGTCTGTTACTGAGGCTGTGCAACCTCCCTCCAAATTCTAATCCCACCGGCAGCCTCCCTTGTCTTACCTTAAGGCTTTGGCTCCATCTGTGCTGGGGATAGACTGATGTTCTTTCATTCATTCGTGGCCCTGCATACATTTGCTGAGCACACACTGGCTGTGCCTTGGGTAGACTAGAGTGAAGAGAGCTTGGCTCTTGCTTAGAAGGAACTCTGTAGAGGTGAGAGGCAGAGGAGAAATGAGGCTGGCATAGCAGGGTATAGGCTAGGATGGAAACAAGCTTTCAGGGCACTCCTCATCCCAGGAGGACAAGAAAGGCCTCCTGAGGAAGGATCTATGGGATAAACCAGTGAACACGGTAGAGACAGACCCAGGTAGGAGTGTTGGCCAGGCTACCCATGGACACATATAAAAGGCCATTGAGCCCAGGGCACACCAACTAACTCCAATGGGCCAGAACTAAAAGGGCAAGGAGATGTGTCAAACCTTGAAATCCATATATAAGAATTTGACCTTGATCATCCATACTGTGTAGTAAGGATTCTGTTAGGAGACTTTACATCTGGGTGAATGAGTTTCCCATCTCTGTCTTCACAGAGAGTATTTTTCTAAACAGTCATAATAACCAGAACTGACATTTGTACATGTCATCACAAAACTACAAAGTCTTTTCATGCCTAGTCCCTCATTAAGTGTCCCTATGACCCAGTGCAGAAGGTATTAGGAGCCTCATTTCACAGATGAATAAACTGCAGCTCCTGTGAATGAGGTCACATGGTGACTGTGAGTAGGGTGCTCCCTGGCATCACCCTCCCCTCCACTCTGCTGCCTCCCTGCACAGAGGAGCCTTCAGAGTTCCTGCCCGAGCATCTCACTCCTGTGCTTGGGTGGAAAGAATGTGAATTCAGAGACTGAGATCCAGATTAGAAGTGACCCTGCCATCTCCTGCCAACATCAGCTTCCAAGCCATGTCACCTCCTATTCTGGAGTTTCTCGTCTGTAAAATGGCACCAACACACCTGTCCTCTGATTGCCCTGGGGGCTCATGCTTCAGCGGTCACTAATGCATTTAGGGTCATTGCTGATCATACAAACTGCTTAATCCTGTTAGGGGATTCTTTCTAATGTTATCACTTGAGGAGAATCCCAGGGAGGATTATATGGCCACTGGTGTTGCCCCAAGCAGGCCTTGTCCCTTTGCCCCTTTCGGGCTAGGAACGCTGACCACAAGGACACAGCCAGCCCTTCCTGCATGCTGCTAGCACTCAGAAGACATTTGCTATTTAGCTTTGTGTTTGATAATGCAGTTTGGTGTTGGTGCTACAGGCTGCCGGTTGTTGACTGTTGCCTATCTGCTAATCCCTGCTTTGTATTTGACATGCACTGTACTGGCTAAAATTCTCCCAGAGAGCTGGATGTGGTGGCACACACTTTTAATCCTAGCACTCGGGAGGCAGAGGCAGGCAGATCTCTGTGAGACTGAGACCATCCTAGTCTAGCCAGCTAGGCCAGCTAGGGCTACAGGAAGACCCTGTCTCCAAAAAATATGTATGTTCTCCTAGAGACAGGTCATATTATATCCACTGGGGGAAACTGAGGCTCAGAGGTACCAGCTCACCTGAGCTCCCTTTCTGGGTCACTTCCTCCTACTCATTGGTCCTAGGGTAAGATAGCCCCCAAGCTCCCCACTGCTCCCCTCAATTCAAAATCAAAAGTCAAGAAATGTCAATAGTAGTTGAATCAACAAGCTGAGAGCATCCCTTCAGCTGACAGCGCCTTCCAGCCTCCCCTGGCAACCAGGAGAGGGGGGAGATGAAGCGCCTGCAGGACAGGAAGGCAGATTAATTATCATTTCGAGGACCAAGCGAGCTCACGTGAGAGTCGAGCTGCGTCACTTCTTGCTGACACCCTCAGAAAGTGAAGAAGTGTTTGTGAGCCGAACGCCGGATGTCATAGCAGGATCCTGTGGAGGGGCCAGATGAGGGGGTGGGAGTGGCAGTGGAATTATTAAATATTGAAATTGATCGGGACTAGCAGCGGCGAGCTATTTATCATGTTCTGTTGCTTCCAGCCAGCACTACCATCTGGCCCATTGTTCAGTCGAGTAGCTTTGCATGTTTTGTTTGCTTCTAAAATTGCTCCCCGTAAGCGGAATCTGCAGGGGTGGCGAGGGGGGCTGTCCACAACACTGGCTCAGATAAGGGCTTCTGGAATCTGCCAGGGTCTCTCCACCCTGCTGACCAAGCCAAGAAAGTAAGGGGGAAAAAAATCTCATTTTCAGCACAAGTGAAGCTGGAGCTGGGATCCCCTGAACTTTTGCATCCATCTACCCCCCAATGTGTAAAGTCGCAACTGCAGGTCATGCGGGCCATTTTGAGGTTGCCTTATGGGCACATTTATTGCTGCTAATGCTCGGATGTTTGAGATGCAAGATACACCTCATTTTGCAAATGAGCATCCTTAGGTCCCAAGAGCAAAACTGACTGTTTACAGTCTCATAGCCAGGGAGCAGTAAAGGCAAGATTTGAACTCAGGCCTCCAGCTACCCAGCCACAGGTGCTATCTCTAATCTAGGACTACATCAGGCAATGTCTGCTCCCTTGTGAGACTGGGGCGGGGAGGGGACTTGTGGGGCAGGAATCAGAGGGGATGCAGACGCAGGCAGGTGTTATCACACTCTCCATTTCAGAGCTGGAAGAGAGGAATTTGATGTTCTCACAACCAAGATATGACAAGTGTTTAAGATGATGGTTATGCTAATTACCTTGATTTGATGTCACATGGTGCATACATGTACCGAAACATCACACTGTATCCCATAAATATGTATAAATATTACATATTGAAATAATTTTCTTTTGAAAAGTCAGCTCACCCAGCACAGAGCCTGCTGCGGAGGCACAACTAGGGGGAGTTGCAGTTGGGAATGTCTTGTCCAAACTTCTGTCTCCCCTCCCTTCATCCTTAGAGCATATCCTCCTGTTCCCATGGCTGATGAAAAGAAGTAACAGTCTAGGAGGCTAAGAAACGGGGTGGGCATTAAAGCCAGAAATAGGAGCCACTCTGTGGCCCTAGAGACGGGGGCCCTGCTATCGCCCAGCTGCTGCCAACCAGGCCCAGTTATTGCCACCCTCTGAAGGCTGGTCCAGTGCCCTGACTCTCAGGGAGAAAGGGCATCTGGAGCCAGCCACCTACAAGGACCATTCAGGACACTCAGAGCATGGCAGTAGCATAAATCCGTGCTCGTGTGTGGTTCTTGCTTTTGACAAGGAGCAGTGTAAAGGCCAAAGGATGAGTGAGTCCCTTCCTTCCTTCCTTCCTTCCTTCCTTCCTTCCTTCCTTCCTTCAGTGCCCTGACTCTCAGGGAGAAAGGGCATCTGGAGCCAGCCACCTACAAGGACCATTCAGGACACTCAGAGCATGGCAGTAGCATAAATCCGTGCTCGTGTGTGGTTCTTGCTTTTGACAAGGAGCAGTGTAAAGGCCAAAGGATGAGTGAGTCCCTTCCTTCCTTCCTTCCTTCCTTCCTTCCTTCCTTCCTTCCTTCCGCTGTTGGGGCAAAGCAGCAGAGGGAAGATCCTGGAGGGATTAAAGGAGAGATAACACACAGAGAACTCAGCACAGTGTGACCAGAAGAGGCACCCACTGTGGGTCTGTATCCCTGAGGGCCGAGCCCCAGGCTTAGAACATAAAAAGGCATCAAACCTAGGTCCAGGTGAGTATTTGATGAGTCAACAAAGCAAAATTAAAGACACCCATGTCCTTAAAGCAGGGAATTCTGAGGGGGAAGACGAAGCTCAAACAAGCAGTGGCTTCATTGGCAGGAGCTCCCTTCCCGCCCTGAATGCCTGGTGTGATATATCAGCCCAGTTGCAAAGGATCGCCATCCACTCCAGCTATGTCAAAGTGCCAACGCATCTGCCCTTTCCCCAAAGCCCACCCAGACCTTCCTTCTGCCCTAATGAAACTGGTGCTATGTAAAGGAGCCAGGCAGATCCCTGATGCTTGAGACTTTGCTATTGATGTGGGAAAGAAAACTAGTGCTGAGAAAAGACGGATGAGGGGCAAGTACTGGGGGAAAACATGCAGGTGAGAAGATTGGCCCTTGAGCCAGATTTGCACACGTCTTCGGTTTGGACTGTAAGCTTCACTTCCTTTTAGGCTTCAGTGTATGGAAATAGATTCAGCAGCATCCTTGGATACCAGGCCACTCCCATCATGTCTGTGCCCAGCCTCTTATTTAGCTTTTGTAATTATGTATGTGTGTGCGTGTATATGAGTTTGGACTGTAAGCTTCACTTCCTTTTAGGCTTCAGTGTATGGAAATGGATTCAGCAGCATCCTTGGATACCAGGCCACTCCCATCATGTCTGTGCCCAGCCTCTTATTTAGCTTTTGTAATTATGTATGTGTGTGCGTGTATATGGAGGTATGTGTGCCCATGTGCACACATGTGTGGAGGACAGTGGACAACTATGGATGCTGTTCTTCAGGTGTTGACCACTGTGCATTTTTGAAATAGGGTCTCTCATTTGCCTGGATCTCACTGAACGAACTAGTCTAGCTGGCCAGCAAGCCCTGGGGATCTGCTTAGCTCCGCTGTGTTTCATTTTGTTTTTTAACAAGCATTCTGCAGG